GTCACATTAACTCCCTAGCCATGTGCTCATCATTCGCCTCGATTACTCGGAGTGAGAAGCTGTTTTTTGACTCCCTCCTCCTCCCCCTGATCCGCCCACTTTCTTTTGTTGTATATTTAGTGTTGGTGCGTTTTTCTTGGCCCGCACCTTTACTGGGAAAACGCCTTAACGGAATTCATTCTTGTTCTGTTTGTTTCAATAAAAGCGGCTATGGACCTATTGTCCATAGCCATATTGTTCCAACCTGAGTTTGTTATTTTTTGGTACCCAGTAAACAGAGCTCAGGCAAGAGCAGCATTTGTAGATTTGTTTTGGGCAGAGAGAGAAAGGCATAAAAAGCTGTTGACAATTTTAACCTGAAGAAGGCCGAACGGCCAAAACGTGAGGCATTAAACCCGTCCAGAACAGTCAAGAGTTGTTCTCTTCGTTACGTCCTTATCGTACACTTAACTATATAATTATATATACATATATATATATATAGAAAGTTTAAAAATTGCGATGGACAACTTCTGACGTCAAAAATATAAAAAATTTTTAATAAAAAACCAACGACTAACGACTCCCTATATACATATATATATATATAACGAGTTGATCTGCAGAAGTGCTTTCAGAGTGCTCGATAGTAAACTAGAGCGTGCTTATATAATAGAGGACGGAGTGATCAACTGAAGATTTGACTTGGCATTTATTACTATTTAGTTTCGTACTACACAGCTTGTGTAGCACTCATCGGATAAAATTGCCAAATGCAAACTTACAACGTTACAATGATTTGAAATAACGTACACTGATTTGAAATAAGGTGATAGCTATCATATATGGAGTCTTTACCTAAGGTAGGGGCTAAAAATAAATAAATTAATTAATTAATAAATACACAGACACTATTGCGTGACAATAAATAAACACAGACGGGCGCGATAAAGGTAACGGCTAAAAATAACTAAACACAGACACTATTGCGTGACAAGTCAGGTATTGAAATTTTTCAGGAGGAATTTTTTGGCATGTCTACATGAGGTTATCAGTTCATTTCGTTTGTTAAGAGAGGCTAAATCAGGTTTGCAAATTATAAAGTACTTCTCCCAGAGGCATAAAATACAGCGATTTGAGGCAGGGTTGTATGGAGCGGCCTGCTTTAAAATCTTCCTAGAAATCGTGTAATCTATGTTCTTGTCTTTTAAGTTCCAGACGTGTTTACTTATACATATGTATATACATATATTTATTTATTAAAAACTAGATCATTGGATAATGCAATTCAAGACTTTTTATTGGCTTAGCCCAGGGAAGGACAT